TTGTAAACGTTCGTAATATTTTTTTTTAAGCATTTCACCCCAAGCAAGGTGGAAAGCCACTAGCACGCAAGGGGTTACAGAGAGTTGGAGCGAGAACAAATAGGAGTGATAGAGGAAACATTGAAGAGAAGGATAGGGAATAGATCAAGGCATTTGGAGATGTCAATTGACATTACATTTGAATAGTTGGAGATTATAGCTATCAGAGAAATAGGAAAAGGGGAGGGAGTTCCACAGGCCAGAAATGCGAGATGAAGCTATTGGAGTAGAAGAGATGGCTACATTTAACAGTTTTGACAGTGAAAGGGTGAGAGCGAGATGCCAGCCTAGTTGAATGCTTAAATTCATGAAGTCTGGGAACCAGCGAAAGCAGCTCATCAGAGTAGTTACCGTGAAAGTATTTGTAAAAAAGACAGAGGGATGCAACGGCACATCTGTGAGAGAGAGACTGCAGATGAGATGTCAGATCAGGGCCAATTACATTGCATATCCATCCGTCTCTGGATTTTATCAAGGACCTTGAGACAAATAGAAGGGGCTCCAGACCATATATGGCAGCAATAATCCATGCAAGGGTGAATGGTTGATTTGTAAATTTGAAGGATTGACTCTGTCGAAAAATTTTCCTGGTGCGACACAGGGAGCCAAATTCCCTTGCGGTAGACGAAGCTATTGACTCAATGTATTTGTTCCATCTCAGGTCAGCAGTCAATGTGAGACCGAGCAGTCACAAAGAGGTGCTCTCAAGGAGTTGAGCATCAAACATTCTAATGGGGGCAGGGATGGTTATCTGTTGTGAGTAATAGAGAGCAGTTTTGTTTTTGAGGCATTAAAGTTAACCAGCCAATTCCTGCCCCAGTCCACAACATGAAAAGACTTACAAGCACATTTGTGTATTGGGCTGAGTCATAAATAATTTCCATTTTTGTTTATCAACTTTATTCTTAAAAAAAAATAAAAGTACAATTACATTTTATTCAATTATATATTCACCATTATTTGCAGTAACTTATTGCTACTTAACTAGGAACTCTTCAATACCTTTTCAGTAAAATTCTGCAATGGAAGGAGGAAATAATGAGTTAGGTGAATATGGTGAATAGAGTGAAACAGACCAAGTTCCAAAATTTGTTCCTGTATTATTCTTGCTGTGTGTGGCCTTGTGTTGTCATGGAGAAAACAGCATTTTTCCTTTAATCCACTGTGTACACTACTATTGTTGTGCAAAAACTGGGATATGTTAGTGCAACCTAAATTTAGTCTTAACTGCTACATATGATTAGTAGTTACGATGATACAGTCATCAATTACAATTGCTTCTTGAAAACAGAAATTACTTATAACTCAACCTAATATATGCATATATAATGAAACACTAAGGCATGATGGTATAAAAGGATAAGATGAGGATATGGAACTTTACAAGTGAAATCTACAAGTTATGTTCAGTCATAATAGGGCTAAATTTACAAGTTTAATGTGAAAAGTCTGGAAAGCAAATTTAAGTAACTTGAACTTTGCAATTTAGAACTACTGAGAGTAAAAAGTCAAGATATTTTTATTAGGAAATAGTCTTTTATTTAGAGCTAAGATTATATAAAAATTGCGTTGTTTTGATAAAATCCAAGATTTTGGCTAACAGCTATCCTATAGCTCCTATTTTTTCTATGAAAAAAAAAAAAAATAACAAGTATGATCCATCCCATTTTGTTGGGTGATGAGATGAGAGCCAATAAAATTATGAAGTAGCAACTTGAAAACTGGACTTAGGAGTGATCAGCAAAATCTGGGATAGCATGGAAGATCATCAATTGAAAAATAACAATCATAAAAAAACTAAGCCTGGGGACCCCTAGACTCTAGCCACCATCCTAAAGTTTTTCAATATAAACCCTTCATTTTGGTCACCAGACAGTTGAACTGGACAGATCAGCAGACTTTGTTGACCTGCTTCTAGGCAATTACTCACTCTAACCCTCATGAGAAATGAAGCAATCAGTTGAAGAATTCTGAAGAATCAGGAAATTTAAGAACTTCCAAAAAAGCTGAATACTATTTTTCATTAAAAGTTTGACACCACTTTTCCTTGTCTTCACCAATAGCTTAATTTTTGCTGCAACAAGTTCTTTGTGAATAACCTCTTAGAAAATTAACCAACCATAACTTAAGACCTAGCACTTCAAGTGAGGCAAGGTTAATTCAACATTTATAACCCTGACTGAATAAACACAATATATTTTTATGCTGTTAGACATGGCTGATCATATATAGAGAGAAAATGATGGCTATCAATCCCCATAGAATAAAGTCAAGAAAATAGAGAAATAACAACACTAGAGTATAAGATGGTTGAAAGAATCTATGCACACATGTTAGATAGATTTTTACAGAAAAACCTCCCCAGTAGACCTAGCATTGAGATAAATACCATATGGGAGCCTCTGATTAAGAAAGGACAACACTTGTATACACACTTAAAGCTCCAAAATTATAACAGGAGTTTGTCTAAGAGACACAGTGTGTTAGTTAAAGCTTATCTAGTTTCCTAGCAGTTAAAAGTTCAATCTCTGAGTTGGGTAGTGCAGAAAAAGGCGCATAATTCTAGTTCAGTAGAAGGAATGAAATGAAAGCAAACAGATGAGAGTGAAGTGATATAAGATGAAAGCAGAGAATATTCTTGAATAAGGGAGGGTTCTGAAGAAAACAAGCAGGTACAATGGCCACAATGTTGTATATTAACTTTCTACACACATTTGCATTTACTTTTTAGTTACTTTTCATTTCAACTCTAGTAAATCTTATTTTATTGCCTCATAAGTTTATATAATTTTTTTAAAGTTCATTACTATTGAATATCAGGCGACTAAAACAGTTCAGCTAGTTTACAATTATTATATTATTTTATTTATATATTACTTAAAATGTGTGTATATGTGTGCACATATGCATAAATATATATATGTAAATACTGAACCTAACAATGAAGGAAAAAATCACAGATCCTGTGCAACTAGTTATGGATCAATGGGTAGTGTTTTGCAGTGCCATTGTACTTACAGAAATTAAAGGAAGAAACATGATCTGTGAACACAAAGAGCAAAACATATACACAATACAGACTGACATTTTTGCTGCAGCGCAGTTAATGTTAGAGGATATTGTTTCTGTGAATCAAATTCTTTTAAATAAAGAGAGTGATGTAACAGATGGCCAAAGAAACATATATCAACATTTAAAAAAGGACAGGCATTAGATATAAGAAACCATTCATCATTGCAAAGGTATATTTTGATTGATATAGATAATATATACATATAATAAATATTAATGACAGCATAATATTAAATCTTAACTTTCCTATTTGTGAGTTGATATCTCAACAGAAATATGTAATTATAACAATGTTGATTTATTCAATAGAATCTTATACATATTGTGATATAAAGACTGAATTGATAAAAATTGATTGAAGTTAAAATTTATTTGCAAAATAAATCAATGGAAGTAATTTAGAAAGAAATCAGATGACAAAAAAAACGATTATTTTTGGAAGCTGGAATGTTAAATGTTAAAGAAAACATAAAAATAGTCACCTTTTCTTTTGATTTTGGAAATATATCTTTTTTAGGAAATCTGAATGTTGGCTTTGGCTTTTTAATTTTTGATGGACTCCTGAAAAACAGAAAAGACAAAATCAAAAAGTTGTTTATTCTAATGCTCAGAACACTCACATTTCATGATTTTGGCCTAAATTATGCATTAATGGAACATTTCGGTTTAATAAAAAATGATGTTGGTACAATAGTAATAGATAAGTAAACAAAGTTGAGGTATTTTAGGAAGATTGAAGATGAGTGTATTTCAAAAATGCTTCTGCAATGCATCATTCCAAATGTATAAAACAACCAATGTCAATTTATCTAAACTAGAGCAAAACAACTGTATGCTCACTGCTTTCCAAGAATAAAAAAAACAGTAAAATATTTATGATTTATCAAATAGAAAACTAAAAATTAGCTTACTTGACATCATCCATATTGACTAACTGTTCTTCTTCACTGTCTTCTTCTTCAAACATCATGTAGCCTTTGTCTTTTTTTTCTTTACGACTTTCTTTTTTCTTCTTCTCTGAATCTTTTTTCTTTACTTGCTTTTCATGTTCTTCTTCACCAACTAAAATAAGATTTAATATCAGATTAACATAAAAATTCACTGAAGTATTTTCTGGTGAAGATAAAACAAAATTTGGATTCACATACAGCATGACATGACAAGAACAGACATATATTCTGGGAATTAAAAATTGTTTGGCATAGAAATTTTGTAGAATCTGTAAATTTTAAATATATAAACTTACAGCACTACTTCATTAATTTTATCTTGGAAAAAGATAATTATTAAATTATTATAATTTAATAATTATTTTTACAAATTAAAAGATTTCGTTTTTAAAATTCAAGTACAAATGTTAATGTGTAGAAAAGGGACAGTAATCACCATCTGACATTGACATGTTTTTTAAAAAGGACATTTAAATGTGCAAATGATACAAAAAAACTAATCAAAATTCTGTGATAATACATTTACTTGTAGACAAAAAAAGTTCTGACATTTCATAAATTTATGAAACAATTGCACACATAAATTGAGAAAAATTAAGATGCTGAATTCATTTAAAAGTATCAGAAAAGTATCATGAAGTTTTAAAATCAATTCACAATAAAATTGTAAACATTTCCATACAAACAATTCAGAAGTAATTCTTTGAAACAAGTCCAGAACAGCATCATTAGTGCGAGTAGAAGGAAATTTTTCTTTTGATGCACAATGTTAATATTACTATGATTTACAACAAAAGATATATAAATATGCACTTACTAGAACTGGCATCAGCTCCAACAGCTGGTCGATACAGGCCAGGAAAATCTCTGTCATGACTTTCAGAACTTTCGTAGCTCATTTTGGAAAGTTTTTTTTTTTTTTTTCAGGAAAAACAGATTTCACCTTAAAAAAAAAAAAAAAATAAAATAAAATAAAATAAAGAGACAAAAAATACCAATATCAAAAAACCTGTCATGTAAAAATATTTAATTGTAAGAATATAACTTGTATCTTAAATTACTTGTTAATTCAATTAATAGAAAATATTTTATTTGTCAAAATGTTTAAAATATTTAAACATTTTAAAAAAAAAATATTAAACATAACAACTAAAAACTACAAGTATAATTTCTGAATTAATTCATTTTTTATTTACTTGTGAAAATCTTCTGTTTATGGAATTCAAGCTGTAAATAATGGGTAATGTTGTTGGCGGAAAATCTGCAACTATTATATACTTCAGTTTTTCAAATCTAGGCTGACAACTGATGAGTTCTAAGCAAAGCTCCAGATTAACTTTTTTCGTCATCATCCTGGAAAAATTTTAAACAGTCACAAGATAATATTTTTTTAACTTATCATTAATAATTGTTAGTGGCATGATAAAAAAAAAACACCATTAAAAATATTCAGGAGATAAATTTAAAAAGCTAAACTATGAATTTTTTTAAATGAGTAAATAAAAGCAAATTACCGTAATGTCTAAAAAATAATACGCATTTTTTTTTACTGTAAATTACAGGTGATAGTAGTGGTGCTATTATAAATAAGTTTAAACAAAAATATTTTTTTCATTATTGTTGTTCTTAGAACAACAATAATGAAATAAATAATGAATGATTTTTTTTTTTTTTTTACGTGCCTTTTTTCAATCCATTTTTGGAGTGACGTAATTTATTGAAAAAAGTTTGAACAAAGTAACTATAAACAAAATGTTTTGTTTTTTTTGCTATCCTCTGCCAGCCGCAATGATGGACAAAGCATTGCATTACCCTGCACCATCGCCAGTAAGACATGCTGCAAGAGCCACTCCGTTTCACGAGGCTCGTCCTTTAATCGAGACATCATCATGCCAATCCTCCGAAGGTACGCCACTGAAAGAGGGCCAATAACCCCAGGTGTCTCCCCTGCAACAGGAGTAAAAAAAAAAAAAATCTATCAGCAAGAGGAGAATATTTAACTATTTTTTTATCTCTGTGTCCCGGGCGACGGACCCCGGCTCAACTGCGGACCTGATCAAATTACCAGCCGAAAATGTATCCGTCCAAGTCACATCCCAAATCAACAACTTCCCCATTTTAAAAGGGAAAATGGTAATGCCATCCAGCCACTTTCCATCACCACAGTCAAGGCCTATGGGTTCAATTTGGGAAGGGAACACAGCTACATCCAAACTTCTCAGGCAAGGTGAGCCTCAAATTAGTAAAATTAGCCTCGCATTTTATTTTATGCCAGCTTTTTTGTTTTGCTGTGACCAGTGGGATAGAAAGTAATTCTTGGGCCCAGACACTGCAAGCTTGTTTGAAAGAACTACCCGAGAAACATTGAGATGATCCACAGAGTACGTCATCAATTAATTTGTGACTGGAATAAAGTGAAGAAAGATATGCTGGAAGGGCCTAGTCTGCCACTGATCAAAGGCCCAGGCCACCAAAACTTAAAGGGAGCTTTGCCTGCCTCCAGCCTGTGTCGTCAAAATTAACGTTCCAAAGATCTTATCCCAATTTTCATTTTAAATTCAACAATAATAATTGTAACATTTTTTGTCAATAAATTTATGTTTATCAGTAACCACATTTTTTACTTGGTGAAAAAATTAAAAAAAAATAAAATGCTAATTTCGAAGAAAAGATGATATCAAGTTAATTTATTGAAATTTTAATTTTCACCATCATCACTTTCTATTATAGAATCAATATCTAAATTGTCATTAAACAATATTATCTTTGTCCTGTTCAAAATTATCTTCAGCCTCTTCATTCTCTTACCAAAGGATGTCATCTTCAGAGCCATCCATGGCTGTCGTGAGAGAACACTTCTTGAAACCTCTCTTTATAACATCCTCACTGACGAAATACCAAGATTCCTGAATCCATTTTACAATAAGTTCCAACTCTGCTTTTTTTCCTGTTGAACACCAGAAAACATCCTGTCATTCCATTTTTTTCGCATCTCTTGTTTAAATGGACAGTTGCAGACAACATCCATTATCTAAAGTTGGCCAGACATTCCACTGGTATAACAACAAGATCAGTCCTCTTCTCCTGAAGCAAGGCATCTTATGGCAACGAAATGCATTAAGAACCAACATAAGTCTACTTCTTGTAAATTCTGTTGTGTTTTTACACCAAACATTCATTTGTCAGTCCTGTGAGCCTCTCATCTATCCACCCTCTTTCATGACATTTTTTACTATCATACCGGCTGAGCACCGGTTTTTTGGCAGAGTTTTCCATTTAAAATTACGTAAGGGGGCATTTTCTTACCATCACCATATGCACCAAGCATGGCTGTGAAACTATTCTTCTCATTTCCATTTGTTTTTATTGGAACAGACTTCACCCCATTGAATTCCAGAGTTTAAAAGTAAGGCACATCAAACAGAAGTCAAGGGTGTTTGGTTAGCATTTCCAATACAGCCTAAAGGATAGTTATGCTTTTTTCTTAGCTGAATAACAAACGCTGAAAAGTGAAAATTCAAAAGTTTATCTTCATAGTTTTTCATAAAAAGGAAACACCAGTTTCTGAAACTTTAAATGTGTTTCCAGGATACATGGTTTTAATAAATTCTTTTGCCTTCATCCTCATGTCTACAATATGGAACATCCACTTGATCGTCTTTCTTTCACAAATTCAACTAAACTTTGTTCCATATCTGGATATTGAACTTTTCTTCCTCTACCTATAGCTTTGGCACTTGAATTACAATTTTTTTTAGTTCATTTTTATGCTTTTTCCATAAATGTATGTTAGCCTCATTCAACTCATATTCTCTAGCTGCAGCTCTGTTTTCTATTTCTATTCTTTTCTATTACTTTGTTATGGCATGTTCTTTAGTGCATATATCTTTTGTATTATTAATGATTCAAGAAAACAATGAAACTCCAAATGTGAATCAACAAGTATATATTGAAATAACATACAAGAACAAAATATACAATAATTTGTATTCAATGTATAGATTAAGGGAAAAGAAGTTGCTTCCCTTTTACCGTATTTTGATTTGTAATTGATTGTTCGAAAGAAAGTTCTCTTTAGAGAGAAATGTTCAGGAATCAATGTTAGAACAAGTCTGCTGTTAGAATAGATAACACAAGAATACAATTGATCAGAAAGTGTGTTGTGTTAGAGAAATCAACAGAGTTCTGGTTGATTGAGCTGAGTCACAGAGAGATATGTATATATGCATTACAAAATTCTGTGTCTGTGTGTGCATTTGAAATGTTGTGAGTAAAGTCATAGGTTTGTGTTGACAGGTGAAATTTAGTGGACTCTACTGGCGGCTTGTGAAAAAGTCACCTCTTTTAAAACTACAGATAGGCTCCCAGCAAAACCGCGGAAAAAGTTGATTTTGCACTAAAATATGTGATTGGTTAAAATTTGACCAGTCGCTAAATTTGTACTAACAAAACAAGTAAGCAAGTTCAAAACCAAAAAATTCAAAGCAATGACTGCGATGGCTAAATTGTCCTATAGAAAGGCAGTATTGATTTATTAACCAATCGCAGACGAATAAAATGTGGGCGTGGAAAACATAACAGTCGCTACAACTTCTTGTTTAAAATTTGCACTATAACTCGCACGTTTTGACAACATTTTGATGGTAAAATAAAATGTTATCGGGAAAACCGCATGGTAATTTTCAAGATTATTTTAGCCGTTTAGTTTTGATTTTATTCTTAATGTAAATGAAAAACTGGATTGTATTTTCATGTGTGATTCACTATTTAAATTTAATGAAAATGTTCTGTTTTTGAAACACTGATTTTTACACTATGGAATACAAAGGATCATGAGGCAAGAAGTGAAATAACCATCACTAATTACATCAAAGGTTGGTCTTCTTTCTGGAAGGAAATCCTCGAAGTAAGAGTTACCCTCCTTCCCGATATAACCTATGACTACAAGTTCTGCTCTAAATTGTGCCAATCGAAAGCAGCAGTTAACAAAAAGCATCTATAATTAGTACAAAGAAAGATCATATTCCATCAGGATAGTTATTGACCACATGTTTCTAAGGTAACCAGATAAAAATTGTTAGCTTGGCTGATAAAATTTGTACTCATTCACTATGTATATTGCACCTACAGTACTGTTTAGTTTAAATCTGGCCTTTTTTACTACACATCTCCACTTTTTCGATAAAAACAGCATAATAAAAAATGACCTCAAACTTAATATAAACTAAGTTTTATCGTCCAAATGTTTAAGAGGAAAGACCAAAGTATTTTCAAAATACTCCTATCACGTTCGAAATTTGGGTTGAAAATATTACTTTTTTCTTGTATGTGCCAACGGTGTAAAAACAAAGCTGTTTTAGTTTTCCGGTAAAATCGAAAGTTTCGCAAAAATCAAATAGTCGAATGTTAATGAAACTTCAGGGACTTATTCACAAATCAATGAATTTATTTTTAAAATTATTATTTTTAGAAAATCTTAGTAAAAACATTTTTTTACATAACCCCCACTTACTTAATTTCATTAAATTTTCTAGAAAATCATCAACGAAATGTCTTTTTTAAACCATTTAAAACAGGACTCCTTGGAGCAGATTGTTAAAATTAAAAATGTAAATCAATTTTTTTTTTCGAACTCTCGGTCTTATCAAGTTTAAGCTACTCCAAATCGTAAAATAAAAATTGCAATAAAAGTAAGACTAATTATTTAAGGCTTAAGCTTTTAATTGCTTTTAGTTTTAAGGATAGTCTGAAGAAAAAATATTTTCGATTAATTTTTACAAGAATTGTTTGCATTTTTCTTTTTAATTTATAAAGTTTCATGAAGTGAAAAGAATTGACAGAATTCTCATGAAAAAAAATCCAGTTCCCTGGAAGAGTGTAAGGCATTTTACTGAGAAAAAGAACAATAAAACATTATAAAATCAAGCATCATGAATAAAAGAAAGTGACTAAAAATTCAGTTTGCAAACATGTTTCATCAAAATATCTGAACTAAAAATGTAGTGTAAAGAAAGATGCATATTGTTTTCTTGCAAACGTGCAAAAAAAAAAAATCAATGACAAGACGAAGAGATAATAATAATATTGTATTCTTTCTTATTTCTCACATGCTGCCACAAGATATCCTTTACTTAAAAACTTCAGTAAAAACTACCATAATCGGAATCCATAGTAACTTATTGTTCAGTTAGGTTAAAAAAAAAAATTTTAAAATAAGTATAAAAGACACAAAATGACAGGAAATGATTTTTAAAAGAGTAATTCTGAGTAATTCAGTAATAACAATTTTTCCAAATAACATTACTTGGTTAAATTTTAAAAAATAGTGATTTTTTTATAAAATAAATCTTTTAGAGGTTTTAGAATGAGGCCACAGTACACATAGCCATACAAAGTGAAAATATCCGAATTTGTATATCTACATTCTACAATCCTTTTTTTTCATCAATGGAAAGCGGAACCAAAGCTTGAATAATTTTATTTTTAATAATTTTTTTCTACTTACAATTTTCTTTAAAGAGATGCTACTTGATAAGCCCCTTTTTGGTTTTTTTTATTTATTTTAAAACTTGTAATAGTAATATGCTGTTTCCAGAGCTGTTATTGAAGATTTTAAATCTAACATAGGAAAGACATCGTAAAAGATTTGTACTGACTGACAAAAACTGTCTCTTTGAAGCAAATTCTCCCGATCCGAGCGATGAGACACGAACTGAGGATGTATTGTAGATTTATTGATCACAGTAAAATGTCCAGGTTTAAAATCTCAAATCAGTGTAATCAATAACAAACAATACTATTAGTACGCCATAAAAGTTTAACATTTAAATCAACTTATCCGATAAATATGACAAGAAATACACAAATTACGTTTCATCACTGGATAGAAACAATCACGAGTGATAATCAGAATTGCTAAACAAAAACGAAAAAGGGAAATATATATTCTTGTCCCAACTACAGTTTTGGCTTCTTGTAAAATGTAAACATAAAATTACTTTTTTTCTCTTTGTGGTTAATGATATAACATGAAATAAAAAAGATTATTCTTTTCACGAAAAAAAGTACAGTTCGATAATTGAGTAAGTTACAAGAAAACAGCATGTTATATTTGTTAGTTACTGTTTCGTAAAAAAAATTACCATTTTTTTAACCGCAATACATTCCTCCATCACACACAAATATTTTTTTTAAAAAAAATCACTTAAATAAATATTGTATTTAAACAGAAGTCGATAAGTTCTGATAAAGTGAAAAACATCCGAGAGACTAAGTAATTTATCACCAGCAGTGGAGAACTTGGATTCTTTGTAAAGAAAACTCAATGAAAACATTCACTGGAAATAAAAGCCAGCTTATTTAAAACAGAATTGATTGAATTTAAACCGCCAGTTTTACTACATATTTGAATTGCGATCATCGCTACAAAATACAAAGAAGAAAATAATATGGACTGGGGACTGCTGACTAAAAGATTATTAAAGGCTCTAATGATCAGAAACGTGAAAAATAAAAATAAAAAACCTTTTGAATTACAAAATTAAAACTCGAAAAATAAGAAAACGAAAGGATGAAAACACCAAAAAGGAATTAACGAAATTAAAAGCAGAAAAATGAAAGAAAAAAATCCCGTGTTGGTTGCCCTATTTTGACTCATTCCTTGTGGAATGTGTACTGTGTAAAATGAACGTGGGTTTTTAAATTGCTAGCAAAAATAAATAAATAATGGGGGGGAAAAAAACCTCCAAAAACAATATTTTACTTTTTCAGAATGAGGTTCAAAATTAAAATAATTTTAAAATAACAAAATGAGAGCGGGAGAGCTACAACTTTTTAGAATATAAAAGTGATTATTACACAATTGAACATCTACTTAAAATTATCTTTAAAAGATCACAGACTAATTAATTTAAAAATATTTTGGGGTTATGCGAACAAGCACAAATTTTTAGTTGCTAAAAACAAAAAATAAAAATAAAAGTAGACAAAAACATTGTTTTTACTTCTTACGCACATACATAAAAATCGTTTAACTTAAAAATATATATAATATTTTTCCCAAATGCATCACTTTTTAGTCTGGAAGCAGACCATCAGTGAAAACATCGATTCTCAAAGAACCATCATGATGTGTCTCTCTCTCTCTCTCTCGCTTTCTCTTTCTTTCTCTCTGTGTGTTCGCATTCTTACACAAGCTTTGCATCACACTTAATTTTTTCCATGTAGAACATTTATGCCTTACCTAATCAGTGAAAATTTCTCAAATAACCTGCTCTGTACTACTTCCAAATTGTTTAAAAATCCTCATCGTTTCCATTTTGTTGCTAATTCCACCTCACAACTTTTCTTCCTCCATTATTTGACTACTGAAAAAACGATTGTCACACCGGCACTCAAGTACAACTACGGATGCTTCTACAGGATATAATCGAGCAAAACCTGATTGCAAAAATAATATTGTTGCAAAATTCTTCCATTATGCTATATTTTTGACAATCATAAATTATATATTATCATTCTTTTACAATCGAAAAATATGAGACTAAAATTATAAACTTTATAAAACATTCACGATAAAAATGACAAAAAAAGAAACATTTTGTTTTGTCACTTTTTTTGTGTGTCATTTTATGACGTTTTTGTTTTTTAAATAATAAATCAGGAAATATTTTTCAATATTGTCAAGTTCAGTTTCATTTATTTATCGACATGAATAGCAATTATGAATCGAAATTATTTCAAACAAAATATAATGATGTAAAACATCTTTCACTTGAAAATATTTCTCATATGGTCAATTGAAACATTGTAATGTAAATTCACTAAGTGGTTATAAAACTGGAGCTGTTAAATTTTAAAATTTTTAATACAAAATACTATCTTAGTTTTTAATTTTAAAATGCGCATATGCACATTCTTTTTAATGTTTAAAATGAAAAATGTATCAATTTGATTTGTAAAAAAAATGTACAAAAAATTTTAAAACTTTCACAAATGATCAAAACAAAATTCTATTTTGATAATGTTTTAAATAAATTTAAAATGTCATAAGATTTTAGTTTAAGAAGAGATTACGATAAATGATGTACAATATTTTTTTACTGGTACTTTCAAATAATTTAATCAATAAAATTATACAAAAGCATTTTCAAGCATAGCAAGATAGCAAAATATTATTTAGAAAGCTTCAATAATTTTATAGTTACTAAAATGGTTGATTTCCTTATAAATTTAGATAAGGTATTCCACCCTGAGCAAGATGATAAAAGCCACTAAAATACAAGGAGTAACTGAAAAGTGAAAGAAACTGAGAAAACAATAAAAGAACAGGGTTCAAGGTGGCAAACAGTGATAATTGCATTTAAATTTCTGTAGACCATAGTTAACAGAAAAGCAGGAAGATGGAAGAGCAAGAAGTGTAAGAGAAGAATCTATTAACATAAAACTTGTGGTTACAACTAGCAATTTCCAAAAGTGAAATTATGAAACCTAGCTTCCAATCTAGTACTGCACTTACAATCATGAAGTCAAGGTACTCATCAGAACAATTAATGTAAAAATACCTATGAAAAAAGCACAAGGAAGTTACATTATGGCGGTAAGTGAGTGACCAAAGCTGAGATACCAAGTAGCAGGACCGGTAGCATTGCAGATTCTGCTTTGGATTTTGTCAATAATCCTTAGATATATAGCAGAAGCACCAGACCAGATGTAGCAGCAATATTCGATACATGGATGAATAGTAGGCATATAAATGTGTAAGATAGGTTCTTGCAAGAAAAATTGTCTAGCACAACATTGTGAACCAACTTTCCTAGATTTAGCAATTGGTTCAATATAATTGTTACACTTCATGTCAGCAGAAAACACAAGGTCAAGAAGGCATATAGGATATAATATTCTATATTTTACAATCAATAGGTGAAGCACAAATAAGAAAGAAACACCCACACATAAATAGGATCAGAATCACTAAAGGAAAAACTTTTGTACAAATCAGTAAGAAGATAGGATCCAAAATTAAATAAATTGTTTCTGGAATCTGATTGGACAGTACAGTCCCAAGCTGTGCTTCCAACTACATCCATACATTTGAACTCCAAATGAACTGGTTGCTGGGTGCTATTCCATGTAAACCAAAAAGCTTTCATTTGGAGCCAATCATGTTATCAGGATAATTATATATACACTAATTTTGGGGTCAATAAAGCAGATTGCTGATGACAAGCAGTGGAATATGTAACATGTGACCAGAATTCTCTTGTTAACATGACAATACCTCAGTCAGTGATTCAAAGGAATATTCACACAACTCAAAGAAATATTCATAGCTGTGGAAAAAAGTAAGTCTAATCATCTATCTATATATCCATTTCCTTTTGGAACCACCATAATCAGATTTCATGTATTAGCACTCACACCACAATGTTTCTACTAATGTGCTTCACCCCCCCCACACACACATATTCAGTCCACAGCCACATATACACTCCATTAAAATGGGCTTCAGACACATGCACATATATACACACTTTATGTTGACCAAGGCATATGACTTTACAAACTACCCTTTAACAAATGGAAAATTTAGTCAAATATTTGAACTTTGATTTTTTACAACCAGAACAAACACACTCTTTACCATGTACAAACAAATGTTAATGTGTACATAAATATATGATTATTTCAATCTGGTTTTCCTTTTTGCATATGTAAAAAAAATCATTTTTTTGCATTGTTGTATTTGTGGGCATGACACTTGGTTTTTAATTTTTCACTTTTAATCTGGCTAGACTGACCCTACAGGCACAATGAGTTACTTTCCTAGAGATTAGCATTAGTCATACTGATGAAAGCAAAAATGGTTCTTTAATATGATTAATAGAGAATAGTTTCCTTTTGAAGGTGTTAAAATTAGCAAATCATTTCTTGCCCCAGATTGAAGGTCATTTTTTAGATCAGCTGCCAATTTGATTTTATTGAACTCATGATCATATTGTGGAATAATAAATGCATTCTGATAGAGAAACAATGTACTCATAACATCAAAAAAATTCTCTTTATAGAGAATTTTATGATGTTAATAATGAGTAGATATATGATTAAATACAAGCAATAGTTCACAGTACATGCATTACATGTTAATTAAACTAAAACAATTCAAAATGATTTGATCCCAAAATTTACAAGCAAATAACTTATGATACACAAAACAAATTTCTTTGGGTATGTTTATATGAAACATATTGGCTTACTGAAAAGAATCATTTATGTTGAACATTTTTTTCAAAATAGTTTATCAAGCTCATGAAAAAAGTTATGACAATTTTTAAAACAATGCATTATTGGCGATTATATATATTCTTATTTGTTGAATAAAATCATAAATTCTCTTTATAATTAGTAGAAGTTTTTAATTAAGAGTCAGTGTCTTGAACTCAGTGGAAACAGGGCAAGCAATAACTGAGCAGTACTAAATAAGAACTAAATGATATAGAACTTGGTAATCAACAATCACCTGATGAAGGCCAGAAGGTACAATGGCTGAAGCATTGTAATAACAATAACAAAGATGGGAACAATAGTCCATGCGTAAATAAAAAGTCCATGTGTAAATAAAAAAAATTCATCATCTCAAAAATTCAGCCAAAAATTAATCAAGAAGTTATCAAGAAAATTATAAAATGATAATACTTGAGAACTCTAAATTTCTATAGTCAAGTTCTACTGAAATCTATTAATTCTCAAAGCTATGCGTAGGATAAATAACACACATGTGGCAAATTATGAAACAATTCAATCAGTCTGTATTTTGGCAAATCCATAAAGAAGCTATTTCTATCTATTTCAGACAGTTTCTTCTTTCTGCATAGATTTAAGTTCTTGTAAATACTTATATATTCTACACAAATATGAAACTTTTGTTTGTTTTGTTTTTTTTTGTTATATTCTTAATTGATTAGATTAATCAAGTTTTCATCTATATATCACTAATTGACTTGATATATTTCATATAGTTTCCCTTGAATTAAATAACTATTTCACTGAACTAATTTATACAACTTCACTATCTTAATATGTATCAGATGCCATTCTTTATGGCTAAATTACCAGAATAGCTTGTTTTATATTATTTTATTCTGACTCTGATACCTGCAATCAACAGAGTATATTACTTCATCTATGTAATGACCTCAATCATATATCAAAATCTTGTCTTTATCTAAGTTGACAGTATTTAAAGTAACAAATATATTTATTTGCTCCTCATCATCTGTGAAAAAGTCAATCATCATGTTTTGCATATCTGTAGAGCATCATACTTTTCCTATAAAAAATTATTGTTTTTTTTTAATTGTTATTTTAGTTTCTGGGAACTTTTGACAATTTCTTTGAAGTAGTTTTTATCACTGAATATTCCAAACTTCTACATCTTATATTTCATGCCTTTTTGAACAACTAAATATTGGTTTCAGAAGCTTTTGGGTTAGTACTGGTTTCTTGAAGAATATAATTAGTAGCAGCTACTGATTAGACGAGTTGAACTTTCTTATGACTTGTTTTATAGTTATTTTTTTGTGTGTGTTTGCTGCTTTTTTCAGTTTCTGTAGTCTTTTGCTATAGAAAACACATTTTTGTCAATCTGAAACATTTCCTTTGATTTGAAACTTTAAGGGGATTACTATTTGTTGAAAAACTAAGTTCTTTAGCAATTACAGAATGTTTCAAGATTTGTTTACTTGCTTGTCATCAGCACAATTTTCATTTTTAACTTCTTCACATTTTATCAATGGTTTTTAAGCAATAAAAAATGCAATAATATGAAGTCAGAATTTCCAATATCTTTTAAAGCTTTTGTGGCAAAAACTTTCTTAGTAATGAAAATATTAATCAGGAAATGAAGGAGTGCAGTAGAAAATTTTTTGCACAGTGAGGAGAGAAAGATAACATGATACTCAAATATCATGTTATATCTTTCTCTCCTCACCAGAAAGCAAGTTGCAAAATTGATAATTATTTACAAAGATCCAGAGACAGTTCTATAAAAGGAACACTTGCAAGTGTCTTCCTGTCTAACTGATAATTTGTTGAAACTGATTCATGTAAAACAGTGAAAGACTTTTGTACAATACTCTCCTCCTATGGATACTGATTGTCATTTATACATCATTCCCAAGAAAAATTAAATATTTCTCTTACAAGAAAAACAGTAGCATTCCCTTTATCTTCATCATTAGGAAAAAAAAGTTGCCAAACTATTTGAAGAATCTGTTTTCTAAAT